GAGTGAGTGACTGAGTCTCTGGAGACTGCTGGGAGTGTGAGTGTGCATTGAGTGACTGAGTGAGTGAGTGAGTGAGGGAGCGAGTGAGTGAGTGAGTGAGTGAGTGGTGGAGGAGGGGGCGAGGAGGACGGAGGGAAGGAAGGACGGATGCGGGCGGGATGGCAGCCAACAAAACTAGAACCCCACACAGAGATGTGGGGAATTAAAAACTTGTGCAACTACACAGGAGTGATCAGTTCCCGCTTCCTAGGACTAGTGCAAAGAGTTTCGTTGGGCAGAGCCTTGCGCGCCCTCCCTGCCCCCCATGCGGACCTGTACAAGATGAGGTGAACTAAGAAGGAAATTCCTAGCGATATTACTGTGCAATGTTGTCATTCTCCTTGGATACAGGAGGTGGCACACACACACATCACGCGAGAGCACAGAAGTGAGAGCGCCCATATGAAAGCAGACACATGTGCATGTATTTGCATTTCGAGGTTCACTGCGCCTGCCACATGACAAATTCAGTTGCTCAAATTTTTCCAAGCGCTGCAGCTGCCACAAAATCTGCAGTTGGAGGTTCGCAAAGTGCTGCGCTTGCCGCAAGGCAACAACTCACAGTGCCCACCACAAAATCTGCACGTCATGGTTTACAAAAGGGCCGTTCCGTGCCTGCCACGAAATCTGCACATCAAGATTCACATCGCGCAGCTGTGCCATGCGTCTGGCAACAAAGTGCGATACTTCTCCAACTGCCACGTAGTTAGAGCACGCGAAATAGAAGAAACCATCACCAAGTCCAAAGTGCAGCGCTTGCCACAAAGCGTGACCACCAAGTCCGATGAGCCTGCGCAGTCGACATGCACATCGAAGATTTCAAGAGGCATGAACGCCCCGCAAATGGCAGCGAAATGGCCAGAGACGCCGCTAATCCAAACGGGACCACAACCCACGAGTGACCACACTGGCTAGGAAACAGGCGATAACATCAAAAGAGCCCCTCGTGCAGGCTAGAGTTTCGAAGAAAAAGTCCACAAACAACATCAAACAACCATTTGCGCCCGCTTTTATGCAGTAGCGCAATGTTGCACATTGGAGTGGGAAAGAGTCTTCCGCCATCATCAACAAGCAACTTGACTAGGTAGCACGTCCCAAAAAATTCCAAAAAATGCACGATGCAGTGCATTTGCCTCAAGGTATCACATGTTTATCTCACCCACCACGGAGCCAAGATGTGCGATGATAACACACAGACTGCGATTTACTTGATCTTTGTTCACATTATCCCGGACATGAGTGGAACGGTTACATATAGAACCACCATGGGCACGGTTTGTCATAGTCTGCCCTCCTACAAACGGAATTCAAATTCAACTTGCTGAGCGGGCCAGACTTTGAGCCACTGACTTGAAAATTAAGTTTGAACTGGACCCGACGGAGGTAAAAAGAAGCTTGGGCTATGTTGAAGCTGCAATTACAAGGGTGTCAACCACAAAAACAAATATTACCTGGACCACTTGACACCATACCCTGCAGCACTACTGTCCTTCAGTTGCAGCCAACACAGACATCCTTTCTTTTAACCGTGCCGTGAACTAAACTGCAATTTGACGTAGCAAGTTCAGCCTTTTGCAGATTGTCACTGTGGCAATGGATATGAAAGGAGGTGTGTAGAATAGTCAAATGCGCATACTAGCAGCGACAGGTTTTACAGGTGCTGGCTTCGAGTCGGGCTTGGCCCCATGAAAACGATAGAGTGGAATCAGAACAGCATATCAGAGATTAGAGATAGGCGGAGCAAGTAGCTGAGACCAAGACTCGGGTACACACTTGGCTCCCCGCAGTTCAAGCTGGACTCGCATTGTCGTGGTGATAGTGCCAAAGCTGGTTTAGGCCATAGGCCATACCGCAGAAGAGAATCCGAGTGCAGTGAAGAAGGAACCCATTCACACATTCCTGCCCTGTCTGTGAGGTTACAAGAAACTTGTGGCACCACCTCCGCCAATGAATCCGCTGAAGTCGGCTTCCTTGCTACCTAGCAATGGTTTCCGGTGGAAAGCCTCCCGGTGAGTTTTGTTTGCAGTTGTTACACGCTGTTACTAAGCATGCGGTGCCATGCGCAATCCACCCGGGTTGGAAGTTGGCTAAAATTAAGATAAAACATAATAGAACCAAGAACTTTCTTGAGAGGGAGATGCATTTACTGTAGCGGAGCCATGGTGAAGGATAGCTGAAAATTGATAGTAGGTCGGTGTCCAGCAAATTTTTTGTCATCCCGCCTTCACAGGGTTGGCGTTCAGGTGCATTGGCACAAGTGCTGCGGAATTCGATGAGCAGCCTGGCAAAGACTGAGATTCTTCCGATGTCAGAAATAGATTGATATCGAATCGAAAGTTCACATGATTCAAACGTTGTCATGGCAGCATGGTTCGACCTCAGTGACAGAGAAGCGTGTGCAAAGCTCCGCTCTTTGTACACCGGCACTCGTCATAGGTCCTTTGAGTGAAGCTGAGCATGGCAAAAGATTATTTTTGAAGCTGTTGAACTAGGTTTTCGAGCATCAGACCACTGCTTGCATTCATATGCTTTGCACGCCCAGGGTGCAGCTTTTTCCGTCCCGCTTTGGCTCAACCATGTTTACTGTAACTGCCCATAGCTCGAAGGCTGCGGCAGACAGAGTCCTGCTTCCTGCCACTTGCAGACCTCCAGGAATGGTTCGCAGCCCGAGAATTGCTAGGGGTGCAAGAAGCAAACTACTATGCAATGTCATTGCTGCCTCGCTTTTGTATGGGGGCATGCAGCTGGCCCGTCAAGCCAAGAATGCTGCCGGAGACGTGTTTGTTCTCCCTCCACGGGCCGGTCCTGCAACCATAAACTTTCATGCTCCGGAAGGATCAACAATTGCAAGCACTGCCAATCTTGCAAAGAGTATTGTTGGGGCTGGGGTGCTATCGCTTCCACGTGGAGCCGCAAAAGTGTTTGATGCAGCAGAGCAAGGAGGTTACGATCATGTGTCCAGCATTGCGTTCCTTCTTTTGCTTTATGCCGTCTTTGGTGGCCTGAATGCTGGTGGTTTCTACCTTATCGGGGAAGTATGTGAGCGGACAGGGGCCCGCACTTATCAGGAAGCTTGGAACAAGACCTTGGGGGATCGGCTTGAATGGCTGCCAAGTGCTGCCTCGCTGGTATGCAGCTTTACTGGCATGGTGGCATGCATCTCTGTTCTTGGAGACACCACGTCAGAGCTCGCCTCCTTTCTCTCTCAAGCCTTTGTCGCCAAAGAGATTCTCATCAGTGGAATTTCCACTTTTGTTCTTTTTCCATTGTGCATGTTGCCATCCCTGTCACCCTTGGCGTTTGCCTCCGTCTTGGGACTTGCAGGTGTTTGTATTCTGGCCTTTGTGATGACAATCCGCTATTTGGACGGCTCATATGCTCCAGGCGGCGCTTTCTACAGCGATGCTAGAGCAGCTGTAGATGGCCTTTCACAAGTTGCCATTCATGGAACAGGTGACAGCCTTCAAGGTGTTTTCTTTCAACAGCTGATTATCTTCGCGGCTGTTCTCTCGAACGCCTTCACTGCTCATTTCAACGCACCTGCCATTTTCAATGAGCTTGAGCCACGCATTAATGCAAGTGGAACTTCCTCTCGGCTGCCTGAGTTCACCATCGTCACTTTGGCTGCCTTCTTGTTATCAGGTCTGGTATTTAGCACCATCACCATCGCAGGAGTGGAGACCTTTGGCATTTCCGGTGGCCCGTCCATTCTCACAAGTTACTCTTCCGCGGATCCTCTCACTTGGGTAGCGAAGATTGGTCTTGGGCTGTGTGTTCTTTTTGAATTTCCCCTGCTCGAACGGTGCTTTCGCAAAACTGTAGTGGAACTGTTTAAGGTTCCAGAAGTTGTGGAGCAAAATTCAGTGACCGTTGTGGCATCGATTGCAGCAGCAGTTGCTTTGGCCTGCATGCCCAACTTCGGCTTGGACAAGTCCTCCGCCATTGGTGGAGCACTTGGCGCTTCTTTCTTGGTCTATGTAGCCCCCGCCCTGATGGCATTGCAACTCCGAAAAGCCGAATCCGGAGCCTCCGGAGCTGAAGATGCCGAAGATGCTGATGCTGAAGCGAGAAAGATGCTTCTCAGAGGCGTCGCTGCTTTGGGTTCTGTACTTGGAGGGTTGGGCATGGCAGAGGCAATGCAACCTTAATGGTGCAAGATGTCGCTGGTTCTCCAGACTCCTGCTGTATAGACCGCGCGCAAGCTATGAATTGGCTAGGGGAGGTTTCGCAATCGAATTCATTGATTTTGGGGATTGCACAATGTTGCAGGTGCATTCCTATTTTCCGCTTCAAAGCCACTGCCAATTTATGATTGTTTTCCTTTGTGCATTAACTCAATGGCCAGTACTTGCCAATGCTGATTTGTTGGGGAGTGCAGTCTCAAGATTCTAGAAACTACAAGCGGCGGCTTTGACCTACTTCCCGGCATGTGTTCAAAGGGTGGTGCAGGCAGTGTATGCGTGTGCACCCTGCTTCAGTGTGCAAAGTTCATCGATTCGCAGCGGCTGTGGCAAGAAAGCGTCGAGCACTTTGGTGTGCGACTTTTGTTTGGTGCCTCAGCCTCCCGCTCCTTGTGGCTCGGCAACCGAGCACACACTTGGAGAAGTTGCGAGCACAATTAGCAAAGCTGCATTCCTGGGCCAAAGACTGCGAGACAAGAGCAAATCAAAATGAAGAGGAGGGGGGAGAGAGAGAGAGAGAGACAGAAAGAGAGAAAGAAAGAAATAAATAAAGAAAGAAAGAAGAAAAGGAAAGAAAGAAAAAAAAAAGAAAGAATTAGCCCAGCTGGAGACCCCAATAGCAAGATACAAACCGGGACAAAAAGAAAAATCTGGAAACAGCTGCTGTTTTCAACACATCGACCATCTCTTCCTTGGACACCATCATCACATAACCGGGACACCATCACAAAATGACCAGGGCACCATCAAAACATGAAGGAGACACCGTCACAACATGATTGGGACACCATCACAACATAACCGGGACACCATCACAAGGTGACCGGGACACCAGCATGACATGACGGGGACACCATCACAACATGACCGGGACACTATCACAAAATGACCGGGACACCGTCACATGACCCGGACACCATCAAAACATAACCGGCACACCGCCAAAACATGACCAGGACACCATCACAACATGACCGGGACACCATCAAAACATGACCGGGACACCGTCACAACATGAGGAGACACCATCACAACATGACTGGGACACCGTCACAACATGACTGGGACACAATCGCAACATGACCGGGACACCATCACAAGGTGACCGGGACACCAACATGACATGACGGGAAAACCATCACAAGATGACCAGGACACCATCACAACATGACCGGGACACCGTCACATGACCCGGACACCATCAAAACATAACCGGCACACCGCCAAAACATGACCAGGACACCATCACAACAGGACCGGGACACCATCACAACATGACCGGGACACCGTCACAACACGACCGGGACACCATCAAAATATGACCGGGACACCATCACAACATGACCGGGACACCATCAAAACATGACCGGGACACCATCAAAACAGGACCGGGACACCATCACAACATGACTGGGACACAATCAAAACATGATCGGGACACCATCACAACATGACCGCGCCACCATCACATGATCGGGACACCATCAAAACATGACCGGGACACCGTCACAACACGACCGGGACACCATCAAAACATGACCGGGATACCATCGCAACATGACCGGGACATCATCAAAACATGACCGGGACACCATCACAACATGACCGGGACACCATCAAAACATGACCGGGACACCATCAAAACACGACCGGGACACCATCACAACATGACTGGGACACAATCAAAACATGATCGGGACACCATCACTACATGACCGCGCCACCATCACATGATCGGGACACCATCAAAACATGACCGGGACACCGTCGCAACACGACCGGGACACCATCAAAACATGCCCGCGACATCATCGCAACATGACCGGGACACCATCACAACATGACCGGGACACCTTCAAAACATGACCGGGACACCATCACAACATGACCGGGACACCATCAAAACATGAACGGGACACCATCAAAACAGGACCGGGACACCATCACAACATGATTGGGTCACAATCAAAACATGATCGGGACACCGGGACACCAGCATCACATGACCCGGACGCCATCAAAACATGACCGGGACACCATCCGCCCACCAGCTCTGACGGTGACCCGACGGCGCCCGTCCGCCTAATAGTTTTGCAAGACCCCATAGCATGGCTATTGGGGAAAAAGAAAGACAGAAAAATAAAGAAAGAAAAAGAAAGAAAGAAAAGAGAAAGAGAGAAAGTTGCTCAAGCCATTTTAGCTCAAGATCTCGGCTCAAGCTGGCTCAAACCGCTTGAACCTTGAGCGCTTGGAGGGCACTGGTCTACCTGTGTGTGGGCGTTTTTGTCCTCGGCTTCTTATTTCAGCGGTGGCCACACCATTGCCCGTGATCGGGACTGTTCCCCCTGGTCCTTGAGGAGATCTATGATGGCTCCCTCCTGGGATGGCTTTCGTCATGCCGATAGAAGAGGGCACCGGGCCCTATGTGGTGTGTTTAGGATGTTCGAGTTCCTGGGTTTGGCAGGACCGTGCCAGTGCCAAATTCAAAGGCTAGCCAGGAGGAGGCCAAGAAACTCGGCCTGGACTGGGCGCTTGAGGCAAGCCTGCCAAGGTGCCTGTTGTCGAACAGGTACTTCAGAAGAATTGGGCAAACATGATTGCGGATGTCCAAAAGTTAAAGGCATTGCAGGCTGAGGGCATTGACTTGTAGATGTGGCCAAAGAAGCTTACAAGTCGATATTGGATGAGCTCAAATTCGGTGCAGGAAGCCATAGATAAAGAGCAACAGCAGCAATTGACTGCTCAGTCCGAAGCCTACTCAAAGAGGAAATGAACGGTTCAACTTGCCCTGAGCTACCGGAGTTTGATCAAGACACGAATGATCATGTCGTCAAGGCAATGGAGCGGGCAGGCATCCTGTTTACTGATGCTCAGAAGACTGAATTGGAGCGCCATTTGGCCGAAAGCATGCTCAAGAGGCGCGAGAAGGAGGCTGATGCCCAGTTGCCGGGTAACCCAGAATGCCGGGTTGCGCCTAACCAATCTTGGGGTTGACAGATTGGCCATGCACACTGTTGGTGTCACAGTCACAGAACCTGCCATTCCCATCAGCGCTATGGAATATGCTGGTGGCGGCAACTTGCTCTTCAGGCACATGATCTGGAGAGGAAAGAGAGTTTTCCTGATGAACCTAGTGCAGCTGAAGGTGCTAGAGGCATCTCACCCTGCGCACTCCTTTTGTTGGGCTCAGAGCGGCTGGGTGGCCCCAGGCCTACTTCCAGCGGGACCCAGGAGGATGCCATGACAGCAAATTTTGAACTTCAAGCCATTCACGCAAAGACCGGGTATATATTGATGGATGACGAGATACACATCTGCCACGCAGGAGGGGACTACACCGGGTCAACTACAAGATCGATTTGTGACTCTGCAGCAGCAGGCCGCTCAGGCTATCCAAGCCCTTCCGGCTGAATGCCGCGAAGATATTGAGTTTGGCATGGTTGAAGCCCGTTTTCGAGGTCTTGAAGCCTTAAAACACATCTTGCGGACGAGACCTTGCAGAGCTCCCTGCTTCTCATTGGGCCTGTTCCGGTGGAAGTGCCAATTCCCCTTGAAGCAGTCGTTGTCCAGTGTATAGTTATTTAATTCATAAATGAAGTTCGCGAAGGCAGGAGGGAAACCCAATCAAGGAGGCTCTCCAGTTGAACGCTCTCATAAAAGCACTGCAGGCCGATGAGAGGCGACGCAACACGGCGGGCGACTGCTCTAAGCGCTGCCTTCAGAACGTGAGTGCCAGGTACGGACCGCTCTGTGGTCTGCTGTTAATGCCAGTCCGGCACCGACGAAGTTCTTGCCACTCAGCTCGCGCAAAGTTCACAATGTGCTGCGCATCAACGTCCACGGCATTGGCCCAGGCGGGGGTTGTCTCAAAGGTCACCTTTTCACTAGCTTCAGGGGCCATGCGCAAAGAGAGGTGCAGTCTCAAAGTCATGTTGCCGGCCACCAAACAAGTTAACCAGGCTCTCTAGGCCAAGGCGCAGCGCCCGCCGTGCCAAGCTGACATGGCAAGCGCTCAGCCTCGCGACCAAGGTCTTGGAATAATGCCCATCTGGAGGTTGATCATCATCTTCATCCAACCGTTCGTTCATCAGGAGCCATAACACGTTTCACAGCACCACACCTGTCATTTCCGTCTGTAAACGTTCAGACTCCAATGTTCGACAGAGAACGGTTCATGGTGAATTGAGAGTTGTGACGCAAACATGAAGTAAACCTGATGATACTTCCCTGGCTTCCACAAAATCAACACAGCATCATCCTCAGAGTTGAAGATTGGATGCGCCTTGCCAAAAGTACTACGGTATGTTCTTCGTCTGATTTCCTTCAGACCCGGAACCAAAGACGCAATACGAGAATCAGAGGAAGTCAACACATCAAACTCTGACCTCATTGGTAAAGCATCTGTCCGTCTCAAAGTCATAGCTAATTCAGCCGTAGTAAACTTCTGAAGAAAAAGGTGTCGAAGTGGAACAGGAATGTCCGTCGTCTCGTCTTTACCTCAAAAAAAACGGACTCGTGAGCAGATCTTTCTAAAAGCAAAGCAGTAGCACGCAGACTTCCGGAATCATGATCATCCAGAAGACCTTCTAAAAGGAAACTCTGACGCGCATAAGAAGCCCCACTGTAAGAAACAAAACGAGTGAACTCGATCAAAAGCTGGTTGGAGTGTTGAATGCATCTGCCAGAGTCCAGGCCAAGATCCTTCATAAGGTCATGAACACGCTTGGCCGCAACCGATGAAGTCAAACATCCGGTCTTTTCGACCGACAGCTGGAGGCCACATCTGCTTCATAAACTCATAGCCATCCAGATTCTCAATTCTCTCCCAGCTTCAGCCGGTTCATCGCCAACAAAGTCCACTGAGATGTCATCAACCCACACATCGACAGACGCGTGAGGAAATTGAACGACAAAAGCTTGAATGGTAGGAGCAAGCACCAGCTTTGCGACCAAAGGGGGCTGCCCGCGCGCAACTTGGCGCCACCTGCTGTGGGGCTCCCGGCTGCCAACCTGACAGTCACCTTCAACATTTTTTCGCATGGGGTTCTGGACGGGAGCGCATCATGAAGGACAGCTGAATTATGGGGTCCTTCAACTAAGTTATGTCTGCAACTGCTCCGACAAGATGAGATTGGAGATGCGTTCTGGGT